CCCCAGTTTTATCATGTTTTTCAGGTCAGGACGTCGGGCCGGGAGCATGAGCGTGACGTGACGGGGACTTCAGGATATTTATATTTTGGACTGTATAAATATGATGATGACTTACGCTTCCGCTTTCGATACTTTGATGACTTTTGATGATGTTTTTATGACTTTTGACGTACTCATTTTGACGAACTTATCCTTTGACGAACTTTTGAAAAATTCATGATTTCAGTAACCGGACAATTTTATTAAAACTAAATTATCAGTTTTCTAAGTTAAGTCACGATTTTTAAAGGTAGCACCCCGAATCAGTTTTCGCAAAGTAAAAAGGTTTTATTTTAAATAACTTTGCGAAATTTGCGCTACTCTGATTTTACGATAAGGAGGGGTGTTACAATTGGTATCAGTATATGTCTTAGTCCGTACGTGGATTTATCCTCCAATATGCATTCGTTGTAGCCATTAAACCCGGTCTAGTATAATATTCTCTATCATCTTCCTTTTGGGAAATACTTCCAATACTGTAAAATATTAATCGTTTAACCATCTAATTATGAATAATTTTTTGTCTCTCTCTAAATACTTTTCACCATACTCTTAAATCCCTAACAAACCTCCGACCAATTCGTCGTTGCCTCCCTTCCGCAGGTGCCAGCCTGCCGCGGTGCCGATTTCACTAGGGGGCCGATGAATCTCTTTCCCCGATGTCCGCTGCAAACTGACGGGGCGCTTCTCAGATTCCTGGTGTCCTTGGTGGTGTTGTTGTGGGGTTCGGGCGTCGGGTGGGGCGGCCGTGCCCATGGTCGCCGTCACCGTGTCACTTCTGTGGGGCGGCCGACAATTGAGTTCGTGACGGTGTATGCTCCCTAGGCCATCCCGTCTCCTGGTGTTGTGGCAGGTGATCCGACGGTGGGGACTTTCAGTTGCCGGTGGTGGCAACCGACGACTCCTGACCAGTTTTGTGTTAGGGGGTCTCTCGGATTGGAACTCATGGTGAGACTAGGAGTGTTTCGGGTAGGAAGATGCTCGACTTGTGTGTCCGGGTTTAGTTATGCCTCGATTGCAATTTCTAGATCTGGATTGAGTCGTGTTATTGTTTTCCTGTCGAGACCGTTCGCGCATGTGGCTCGATTGGCTGTTGCAGATGTGGATGGCTTTTCATTATTACCTTATTTTTTTTGTGTTTTGTTTGTGCGTGTTGTTTATTATTTCTGGTTGTTTTGTGTTTTAAGTTGTGTTATTGTCTTTTCTCCTCTTTTGGAGCGTGTTTTTCCTGCTGGGAGTGTGTTATTCTCTTGTTGGATGATGTATAGTTTGTTGTATTGTGAGTGCATTAATGTAATTGTTTCTAAACTACCTCCATGTAGACCACTTGGATTCAACTGGTTAGCTGTTTGGCTATTCTGATGTTCTAGTTTTAATTACGTGGTTTTTAGTTTTTATATAATTTCTATCCTTTCAAAATAAAAAGTAAAAATATCTGATTATGCAGTTAGACATTTTGACCTCATTTTTTGCATACGTGGCTATATGAGAGCACAGACAATCGCCCCTATATATAATTCCCGAATGCGTTGAGCCTACGTGGCTGCTTCTGGTGCTTCGGAATCCTACTTGGCGAAGACTCATGCTTCGTAATTAGGTTCGGACAAATAAATTGATATATTAATAATTAATATCTAGGTTCGGACATCCCATAAATATTATTTAGCTAACTTAGATATTTTAATATCACTTGTACTAATATAACCCTTTAACTCTTTGTAATTTTACATAGGGAGACACTAAGTGACTGATATATCCCTGACTTTTGATTTGTTTCCTTCAATTAGTTATTGAATTATAAATGTATTTTAAAACTTGATAACTTTTGTATTTCTTATCGGTTTTACATATATAATATATCAAATTAATCATCTTTTCATGATCTTCGATTTGACATCCATATTGTATATATAAAATAAATAAATAATATTTACCTTTATAATAATAAAAAATAATATTTATTAAATTTTATTAGAAAAATAAAATTATTTCTCAGTTGAATATTTTTGTCTAATGTAGTTATATGTTGTAAGTTAAAAAAATTATTATAATATAACACAAGTAAGTCACACAAATAAAAAGTGTCATACTAAATATATAATAATATATATTTTTATAAAAGTTATTTAAATTTTCAACTACTTTTTCTCAATAATTTTATATTTTAAGGAAAATATTAACAAGCACTCGTGTAATACACGGGCGTTGTACTAGTATGAACATTAATAGACAACAATTATATAAAATAAGTAAAATAGGGTGATACTTCTATATATCAAACCTGCTCCAATATGTAGTTACTAAAATCCAGCTTGGGAGGTCTTTAGCAATGGTCACATAATCCGACTTATCATATTATCATAAAAAGTGAAAAACAAAAGTAAGGCTAGCATATAAATAAACAAATAATAAAAAGACAAGAAAAATCCCTTTTTAACTGCATATAGTTTCCACCACACCAAAAAACTGAAAGGTTGAAAAAAACAATGGGGGGTTTATAAATGCAGAACTCAAAGCAAGTTTATTCAGTTCTTCCTGGGAATTCCAAGCCTCTGCCGAAAATCTTCCTCCATCAGTGGGATGCCATCTCTAAGCTTTACCGTTGGTTCCCATCCCAATAATTCCTTTGCCTTTGTTATGTCCGGTTTCCTCTGACGCGGGTCGTCTGGCGTATTTTCCACTGTTATGATTTTCACTTTTGGATTTATCATCTGCAAGAAAATGGAGATCAGAACAAGTTAAATTGCCACATGAATTTTTATTTTTACTTCTTTTCGCTAAAATGCGGAATAATAGAAGGTGCAAAGTTGTTGGGGAACTCAAAATAACCTCTTTGACAGTCTCAGCAAGCTCGGTCATTGTAAACTCGCCTGATCAGAAAGAAGCCCACAAATTAAATTAGTGAATCATTTGTAACAATATTTTGGTTACATCCTTCAGGTTTAACAAATCTTGCGCGACAAATAGAATAGAAAGCAAATATTAACTTCCAAAAGCACACCTACACTCCCTCAGAATTTCATTTATTTTATTAAGAATGGCAACTGCAACATATTGAGGCGGTAACTTGAATAGCAATTATAGAAACAGTAGAAAATGCCTTGGAGAATTTTTGCAATCTATAAGAATTTAAGGAGAGTGACCGAAAAATGGATTGCTAAGAATGTCTTGTCTCGTACCATTTTTGTTATTAGTCCATTTCTTGAGTAGAACTTACCAAACATAATTTCAATTCGACACGCATACTGGATTTATACAACAAAAAAGCAATTCATCATGTTTAACAATAGTTCAGTTGATAGTGATTAATCGTATGATTTTAAATTACACCGATAAGTTTATTATTGTATTTAACACAAGAATCGAGCTATATTATGTAGTAGTTATTATTTAATAATTGAATGTTTCAAATACATTTTCCTATATATACAATTTATACTATTTTGAAAAGATAACTAGAAACCTTAAGTTTAGCTTTGCCATCTTTCGTACTTTTATATCTGATCTATATATAAGAGAGAGAGAGAGAGAGAGAGAGAGAGAGAGAGAGAGAGAGAGAGAGAGAGAGAGAGAGAGATTGCATTAACCTGGATTCCCAATGTTAATTGGCCCTGTATTATCTCCTTCCATTAGTCGGATAAGACCATCCACCTCCAAGAACATAAAATTGAAATATAAATGTCACTCAAACATTAATTAGAGCATCCAATAAAAGAAGCAGACAATGAAGAAGATGATGTTTATGCATACCATGTCAGATACATAACAGAAGCTTCTCGTCTGCGTTCCAGGCAACTGAACTGTCAGAGGTTCATCACTGTGATGCAATAAACAATAACATTAAACTATTAGCCACTAGCACACGCTGTAATGTAATGCAACTCCATCTTATTACCGTATTGCTTGAGCTATGAAATTGCTGACGACACGGCCATCATCAATATTCATGCGGGGCCCATATGTGTTGAAGATCCTTGCAATCCTTATTTCTGTTACAAATTATGCAATTTTATGTCGCCGAAAAGATGCAAACATGCAATTACTTGTAATATAAGAGCATATGTTACCAATTCCATGCTGCCTATGATAGTCGAACATCAAAGTCTCGGCAACTCTTTTTCCTTCGTCATAACAGCTCCTAACACCTGCAGTGCAGTGCCACATTAAATAATGATATTAGAAAAGAAAAAAGTGCAACCAAGTAAAGTGAAAATTCGTGTTCAAATTCTTCATCTAGGAAAATAGAAAAACTTGAACATAATCACCCAATCACAAAAGCTTAAAACATCAGAATATATGATAATTTAAGTACCTATAGGGTTGACGTTGCCCCAGTAGGTTTCATCCTGAGGATGCACGAGAGGGTCACCATAAACCTCTGATGTTGATGTCAGCAAAATCCTATTCAAAAGGTACAAAGTTAAGTCATAACACATTGCAAATAATGTTATGAAAGTGAAAAGATCATATGATAGGGCTTGCAAACCTTGCGCCTACTCTTTTTGCGAGTCCTAACATGTTTAGTGTCCCAATTACATTAGTCTTTATTGTCTGTTGAGAGTCATCATCAGCAAGGAAAAGATAAATCAACATGCGGAGTGCCATTTTACACCAAATCATGAGAAACCACGTTAGAATAATAATACCAATCAAACATAATTCAACAATATATTTGAAATAAAAATAATGTATATCATATTATCACTGACCTTCACAGGGTTGTATTTGTAGAAAATTGGGGAAGCAGGGCAAGCAAGATGGTAGATCTGATCGACTTCAACTAACAATGTTTCTGTCACATCTGAAAAATGGAAAAATATTAAAAAAAATATATATATATGTCCAGACAACAATATCAACAAATCACCAAATAAATGTTTTAAAAATGCTTTGCCCTGAAAAATACGAATCTTCACAATCTTCACGTCAAGTAGTAATTAAATTGATAATCAGATCAAGCTCAATAAAGTTGGGGATTTAACATCCAATAGACATCCCACTAAGAAACCTAAGAATTAACTGACTAAAAATGATGCCTACCATGCCGAATAAGCTCAAACCGTGGATGTCCAATCCATTGCTTCAAATTGTCCTTCGAGCCAGTAAAATAGTTGTCCACAACAATCACCTGAATTAAAAGCCAGTGAAGCTTACAAAATAACGCACACATAATCGGGAAACTATGCATAAGAAATTTTTTTACGCCCTCACCTCATTCTTTTCATTTTCCATCAGCTTGTCAACCAAGTGAGATCCAATGAATCCAGCTCCACCTGTAACCAGGATTCTCATATTTGCCTACCAATAAAGATGTCAATTAGATTGCGATGTCTCTCATACATGTAGCAAACATCGAGAAAAGTACGGGGAAAAACACTGCAGAATTCATGGTAGAAGATGAGAGAACCCATATTAAAAAGAAATTTGTCCTAACAACTACGCCAATCATCCAGAAGCAAATGTAAGAAAGAAATCTTTTGTCTATTATTGGGAAATGAGCTAATGACATGTCACTAGAACAATACCATCAGCCATAAATCTCGAGAAACAAGCAACAGAGAGTATATTAAATATTCTTTGCCTCGTGATCTTATCAGACGTTCAATTCAATATAGAGAAAAAAAAAGAAATAATTTGACGGGAACAAGAAAAAAATTGAAAAACAAGGATATTTTAAAGGCAACACATGGGTCATACCTGAAAGAATCTGGCTTTTCTCAACGGTGAAGGCTCTGGAGGTGGCTTCACACTAATGTGATTTTCCCCATGTGAGGTTTCCTTATCCATTTGTCGAATCCCTTCTCAATTTCTGAATTTGGTAACAGTAAAATCAAAGATACTTTCATATCCCAAACCAATACCACATACAAATTTCGATTTGGAAAGAAAAAGAGAAGGTCGCTTTAACTTTAATTTTACAATCACTCCAACTTATATTGACATCAATCCTTGAATATTTCTACATAGCAACATTTTTTAAAAAAAGAAGTCGAAAAATACATCATGGTCCGGAAGATCATCTTCCTAGTTTCTCTTTATTTCCTTTAGCAAACTCATAATTCATCAATCTTCTAAATTACACACCACACACTACATTTGCTCAAGAAATCAGGAAAAGAGTAATGAGAAAATACTATATATGACAATGCAGTAGAAATGCTATCAAATAGTTCAAAAACACAAAATTAAATAAATAAATAAATAAAAGTGAGAAGACAAAACGAAGAAAACACAAGGAATGTAGTTAACAACCAGCGCACAGGAAAAAAGAAAATGCGCCCAAAACCTCAAAACCCATCAAAAATGGCGTAGATTTACTCGAATCAAGGATAACAAACAAAGATCCATTTGCCACTAAATTAAATCTCATCGGCTGAATCAAACATAATCCCATCATAAATAACGTAGATCTTATGAAAAAAACAACAACATTCTAAAGCAGAATCAGACTCTGATGACCTCGGAAAGATCTCGACAGATGTTAAACGGAACAATTCTCCTACTCAGAACAACAAGATTGGGAAAATCGACAAGCCCAGACAGAAAATTAAGGAGGAGACGTCGTACCTTACTAGCACGAAATAGACGGTGTCAACGATGAAGATTAAGCAAGAAAAAGTAGTACTTTCTGTTACTCACTGTAAATATGGCAGCTGATGATAGTTCATAAACGGGGCAACCAAAAAAACCTCATTTTGAGTGAATATATTTGTACCTGAACACACGCCCTAAACTCGCCACTTTGTTAATGCAAAAGAAATTGTCCGTTGATACATCGGATTACCTTTGTATTAATTTCGCGTGATTGTGTTCATTATGTCTGTACTAATGACATGATTCATGTGAAGGAATAAAATTATCTTGCTCATTTTGAATCTCATGATTAATATACTTTCTTGAAATAAATGAACATTTCAATGGGAATTGAAAACGTCATCTCCATGGGATTAATCATTCATATACATTGCATGGTTTTCTTATTCTCATATCTTCATAAATTAGTTTTTGGAAAAAAAAAAAACAATTAACAAACAATAAAAACATATATATAATATGTGCTATAGATCAATATTAAATTATATTTAAAAAAAAATTAAAATGAAAGATAAATTTCAAATAAATAAATAAGAATATTTTTTATTTATTATTCATATTTGAATTAGAAATATTAAACAATTATATAAAATTACAAATAAAAAATTCATTTATAAATAGTTTAGAATGATCTTATTTTATTTTTACTCAATCATACATGTTATATATTTATTCATAAGTGGAAGTGTATTATAAAAAATTATATTGACTACATATGCTTATAGGAGTTTATCTAATGATATATTTGTATTAGTTAATATGTATATAAATACATAATTCACTTATTATTATATAAAGTAAGTGTAACAAGTATTTGTTAAAGATATGGTAATGCAAGTGTGAACGCCCTGGTCCGGTTTGGGGTAGATCGATTCCTTTCCTCGCCGGTAGAACGTCGGAAACCTGCAAATAACTCTCACACCAGGGGTTGTGTCCGAAGAGCCTCCGATGCTTAAGTCAGTATGTGTATGAGTATACTGAAGTGAATAATGAAAAAATCGTGTTAAGGGACAAAGGCTCACCCCCTTTATATAGGGGTGAGATACTTGCCCTAATAGCAGCCCAGATAAGGTGAGCTGGCTGCCCCAACTGCCCGTCCGTACTCTGACATGCCGCGCACATGTCAGAGGTAGCGCGGGGCGTTGGGAGATGTCAGAGGTGGTTATCGCTATCAACCACTACATTCTCGACACGTGTTCTCCTGCACATGGGGTAAATATTCTCCTGAAATTCGGTTAGAGGCTCTTACACGCGCCTGTGACTAGGCCGATCTCACGAAGTGCTCAGTCCGCGAAGTGGTCGACCGATCGAGGTCGACTAAACTGCTCGACCATTCATCTGGTCGAGGGATAGATTGGTCTACTGTTTAGCTGGTCGATTAATTAACTGTCCGACCTCCTTGACTTCCTCACGGTATGACCTCATCGACCGGTCAGCAGACCGGTTTAGCCTTGTGGGTATAATATCCTATATCATGTAGTCCCTCCCCCCCCCTCCACTCTGGTCGAGTCTGGATGGCTCGATCTAAGAGTGAACTCATGCTCCTCGCCTTCCTCGGTGACAAGCTGTCAAATATCGACCACCTAATGGGTTTCCCACACATTATTTCAAATAATTCCTCATTAACTGCCAGAAACAAAGTCGCCTGCCAAGTGTCCTTTCTGTCGCACCCATTTTTTGCCACGCGTCCGATCTGTCAGACACTTTAATTATTGTGCCTCCTCGTCTAACGTGCCCATTTTGAACTTCGTGTGAATTAATACTTCCCACCGTAGGATCTAGCTTTAATCCAACGGCTCTTATCTTTCCACCCTTTAATTTTTCAAGGTATAAATTCCATACTTGGCGGTTTTTTAGACTTTTTCCATCTCTGCAACTCTCGTCTTCCTTTGCATTCGAAAATCCTCTCTGCAAAATCCTAGCTTTCCCGGCGATTCCTCCTGTAATTCTCAAGCTTTCCCAATCCTTTCATCTGCCATCATGAGTAAGTTAATCTTCACTCGAATTTACATTTCTTGCGCCTTGAATTCGTGCGTTTCTGAATTTTTCGAATTGGGTATCTTGGATTTTGCTGACTGGGTATTTTGAATTTGTGTGTTGGGCGTCCTTGTTTGATTGTTAATTGCTGTGAATTTGCTTCTTCTACAAAAATCCCCCAGAATATTTGTTCTTCCACTTTAATTTTCCGAAATCGTCCCCTTCGTAGAACCCTAATTTTTTTTGAAGTCTTGCCTTTCTCGACAGTTTTTTTTTTTTTTTCTCTTTTCCATTTCGTTTTTGTTTTTTTCTTTTTTCAGATCTTGCACCTCCATCTCCTTCTTCGACCACTTCCTCCGACTCAGTTCAATTACTACCTTATGCACTTGAGGCTGTTCCTCTCTTAATTCTTCGCCCCGACGATTCTGTTCCTACCCATATTTTCACTAGAGATGTCAAAACGGGCCTGAGCCCGCGGGCCGGCCCGCCCCGCCCCGCCAAATGTGCGAGTTGGGTTGTAGTTTTAGAGGCCCGCCAAAGAGCGGGCCAAAACGGGCTGGCCCGCGCGGGCCGCGGGTTTTGGTGGGGCGGGCCACGGGCCAGCCCGCCATTTTTTTTTTTATTTTTTTACATAATAGAATAGTGATATTATGAAATTGATGTTTGAATGCACAATTTTTTTTACCAAGTATTACCTTTGACCAACTTCATCCTTATACATAATTTTTCATAAAAAAATTTAAATTGAAAGATTAATATGAAATGATTATGATACATAAAAGAAAGATATCTGGTATTGTCAAAGCATCATTCTTTACTATAATACAGAAAAGAAAATTATCTAACAAAACCACATTCTTAACATGAAACCACTCATTAGTTAGATAGAAATTTCTTTTGTAAATTGTAGCTTTGTAGATTAAGAAAGTGATAACAAAATTTGTCATAACAATAATGAGAAAAAAGAAAAAAAAAAAGAAAAGAGAGCACAACAGTTATGTGTAACCATGGTAGATATGTGTAACGCCCCACTTTTATTCACCGAAAATCAGAATAAATTTTTCGAAATTTATTTCAAAAACAATATTTGAGGCCCTACTCTTTTTCAAAACAATAATCAATACTCATCAATTTCTCAATACTCGGCAATTATCAATACTCATAATCAATAATAAAATTCCAATAATGCAAATCCAATAATAATCCTAGGGAAATAATCCCCATCAATAATTCAATAATCCGGTACTAGTGAAAAAAATAATCAATAATGCAATAATATCCAAGTTCAGTTTTTCAAGGCGGAAGCATTTATTCAATTTTTAAAGACCACCACTCGCATCCCTTCCGTCGTGCCGCATAAACTAACCTGCATCCATGAAGAGCAGGTGGGGATGAGCACAATAGGAAAGTCGAGGTGCTCACCGCTATGCAATAATTAATCTCAATAATCATGATAACAATTTAAGTATGGTCGCAGCATGTATACGAATCAATAATCATCCCATCTCATATCAATAATCAATAATGGTCTCATGTGCACACCTATAACAATAGACTACTGCCGAGCTATATACCGAACGCCTTCCTCGAAGGCCTTACAACGAGTGCCCGGCCAGCAGCAACATTAATCCACCCCGAATGCCAAAACTTTCGCCTTAGCCTTACATGTGAGGATCACCAGCCAAGGCTCACGCCCTGACTGTCAACAATAATAAAGGAGACTACCCGAAGGTACGTTCTATAACTACGGGGATAACCGTTCGACGGCCAATATAACTCACATCGAAGGCTACATGGTTCACATGCATACTTTGATCATACAACAACAAAAACAATTAATTAAGGCATAGTAAATTTTACAATTACAACCCACCTGGAAATTTCGGCAGAAAATGGCACACAAAAGCAAGTACGTAGGATGAGGCTCAACTCCTCAAACACCTACATTTAAGCGATATAATTTATCAATAATTTATCTCACTATTCGAACTTAACATAAAACCCATACTTAATAAAAATTAAGCTTTATGGGTTTTAATCGGATTTTTCGTGGACTTGGAACTCTCTCATTTTTGAAAAATATGACTCGGAGAAGTTAATTGGGGTCTCGAAACTTACAATAATTTTTCCCAAAATTTTTCTCATTTTTAAAATATTTTTTTTTTAAAATTTAAATCGGTATTGACACGGCTCCGGAACATAAAATAGGTTTAAAA